TCAAGTTTTTCACTGATATGTGCCAACTCAGCAGAATTTTATCATCCGAAGCTTGAAAACGTCAATCAATTAAACGACAAAACTAATTCCAGAACAATAGAGAATATTCTAGAATGTACTAGAATGTTAGGTGGAAACTACTCGCCACAATCAGAGCCAACCCTGGAGTCCCTTAACAATAGACCTACTGACAGTTTCTAGGCTTCATACACAATGTTGATGTTAGCAGCCTTGATATTCCTTCACGTGTCACTTTTAGACACAAAGGTAAGCCTCCCTCCTTCACTTTAGATAATTTATTGCAGGGAATGGGAAGTGAACTTTTTTCGAAAGCAGTCGCTAAACATCAACGAACATCAACTGTTTCGTTGAACATCTGCGAACGAGAGCGAAAAAAGAAAAGGAAAAGAGGGGCTTCATCCCCGCTTTCTCATTGGTTGATGTGATCTAGTGGATATAGTTCCAAAGTCCCTTTTACACACACGTGCCCTGCATCGAGTCATCTTACGAGCTACTGTGCGGGTCTAAGTAAGATAATCTCGCGGATTATCTCGACTGCGACAAACTCACAACAATGCACAAAGTTTTTTTTTTCTTTAAATCGTGTTTGGCATCGGTGTGAAACAGGTAAGTGAGAATTTGTTTGTAAGAATTTTATTTGCATATTGCTGAGTTGAACAAACTACTTTAACCTGATGGTCGTGTGTGAGTGGAATATACATGCATAACCTATGACACACCTCCAACGCGCCCACGGTTTATCACGAATTTTCTAAAATCTTAAGTATACTTGCCGCTTGAAGCAAAGTGTTGAAGAAACTAATATTTTCATTCCTGGTTTGGTTAGCAAGAGGCGCGCATCCTTATTAGCCATTCAATTGTCAAGCAAGAAATACTAGGAAGTAACTGAACCTGATCCTGTAAAACACGCGTCCCGCGAGTAAACGTAACTATAAAAAGTCTGAATCATTCTCTCTTGACTACATACAATCACGTAGACTTCGGCCCAGCACCGTGATTTCTTTCTTCATCAGAATGAAGAATAATTATGCTTTCATTCACGTTCGTGTGCAACGCGGAAAATCCCAGATGTTGATTGCGGAATAAACACTTGACAAACGGTTGTTGAGTCGGAACTGAACCGACTGAACCGACCAAGGGACTGACATGATGTGTTCGCTATATTAATTAAGGAAGGTTTCGTTGTATTTAAGTTCTTTTTCGTATATTTTATTATTATTGGGGCAAGGAATGTCGCTTGTTGTACCGATTACTCGTTAAATCCTAAACCGAGGTTCCTCTGTATCGCTCCTTTTCCGCTGAACGGGTGATTTTCATCTAAATGGAAAGGCTGCTTTGTTTACAGACAGATCCGTTAAGAAACTGACCATGACTATATAAATAAGAAACAATACGAGATGATCCACTTCATGGCACAATGCCCTAACCACTTTTCTTCCGTCCCCCATCCCCAGAACCCCTTGCTCACAGGCTAAGTAACCCTTAAGGGGGGGGGGGGGGGCATCCTGCTTAAACAAGCCTGGGCATACTGGCCTCATAACCAATGCAAATTCTAAACTTCACTTTTTCATTGGGCGAAGTAAACACGTGATTGTGTTAAAGTCAGACATATTTCGGTAATTTATGCGTACACATGTTTCGTGCGGACTGCAAGATCAGAGCTTCAAGTAGTTACTTTGTTGGCGAGCTCACGTTATCTCTACAGGCGCTAAAATGATCATTTTAATCCTTATTCTTGGAATTGAAGCTAAGACGGTAAGCTTATCCAGCGAAAAATTGGCGTGTTGTAGTCTATCAGCCTCTGCGTTAATTAATAGTTTAAGTATCGATCGCACACACCCAGCTATTCACACGTTTAAGAGCCCTGAATATAGTTGTCATATTCAAATAATTTAAAGAAATTTTTTTGGTTTCATATTTATTTTTCCCAACAGTTTTCACCTGTAGGTGAAAATATGATAACTGGAGGGAAGGAAAAACTCAAACTTGGTTTGTGAATATACACTATTAAGGTCCGATCACTGAGACCATAGAACGTGGCAGTTCATGATTCCGTTCGGCTCCAATGAGCAGACACTACGGAGCTCTGGGCAGCGACGTTTTTGAGCGAAGCACGTCAACCGGACCCCAGTGAGCCTTTTTCTCTTTAAATAGCCTTGACGCTACCAAATTTGTATTGCTAAGTGTCTTTACTCTTAAAGGGACGATGTTTGCAAGAATTTATTGAAAATCAAGGCCGAAGATTGCAAAAATTCCACTTCCGATTGACGTGCACGCTCCGCTCAAAAACGTCGTTGCTTAAACTCCCTACTGTGGAACGCCGTTTGACGTATTTAGGGTATTTATAAAATGACCCACCATCGAGCAGAAAACATGATAACTTTAAACTTCCACAAAAGAGTCCGTGTTCTGCAGTGGTAATCAATAAAGCCTGGCACACGAGTATCATGTCATAACACTGTACGGAATCACTATTAAGAGTTTTCATTGCCAGTTCTTTTTATAACACTCTGGTCAATCTATAGCAGCTCAGCCGGTCAACAAAATTCGCTTTCCTCTGGGATCAAAGTTTAAGCTTGAATTATAGTAATATGTCTAACTTTATAAATGTAGCAGAAAAAAAGGTTCACAATCCTGTTTTATGACCGACTGTTGTTAGTTTTTGTTTCTTTCATAAGACTTCAAATCTTGTCTCATTGAAAGCGTTTGTACTACATCTTGGTATTACATCTATTAAGTCTTTAACACTGTCACGTCATTACCGCTGGAAGTGTTTGCATTTGATTGTACTTGCATTGTACCGAAACGTCCCTTGGTAATCAAAAAAAAAAAAATTGCAAGAAAAACAAGCATCTCAATTAGCATTCCTTTTCACTAACAAACGTGCTCTCATGTAGAAGAATATAGAACAAGTTATTTTTTGTTTTTCACCGCCATTATGATTGCGGTCGGAAATCCTTGCCTTTGGGAATAGGATTTCATTAATCTATTTGCGTAAATGTTTTAAATTGTTGATAATAATAGCGCTACTGATATAAAAGGTTGTTTTGACCGCGCACTCGATCTTTTCTTTTCAGACGCCCACAAATGGGGTTATTATCAGCTATAAACCATGCTGCGAAACAAGAACATTAGGAATTATTAGAATAAACAATTTTCAAGTCCATTAAGATCGTCTTTTTACTAACCCGTCACTTTTATCTGACGGATTTCAAGGGTTAAAAGCACTGTCATCGAGCTTTAAGTAAGGGTGGTTGACGGAGATCTACGGATAACGTTGCTCCTACTGACGCTAACTTTAACACCTATACTATCAACAACGAATTATCCAATACGGAAACCATGCAACTCAGCCCTTTTGTCAAGCAATATCAAAACGCGCTTAATAATGTACTCATCTCAATCCAAAACGTCTACAAATGAATCTAGAAAGATCATGATTTGGCTCAAAATAATATCTAATCTTTAAGCAAGAATTGTGTTTCTAGGGAAAAAAAATGTAACTGACTTTCATAAATTCCTTTTTGGCGCTGAAGTGTGCAGTCTTTTTCTTTCCCTCTTTTTTTGCTCTTTTCTGTTACTTCATGCAAAGCGCATGTTAAAGGTCACTTGACTCGATAGAACAAAATGTACATTATTCATCTTTTATAGATCTTAATTAGCTCCAGTTTGAATGATATTGCTTGCTTTAACTAATAATTCGTGTCGTTGTCCAAAACCGCGTCGGATATACAGACATGATTCACGCAAGTTGGCCTCAGGGTGAATCCAGCAATATCAAAAGGATCAGTGACGCCGATAAATAAAATAACTTCCGTGGACACCAGGCACCGAACTAGAAAACAGTTTAAATGTATTTTGATAGCGGTACTAAACGTTTCAATTATCAGAATAATATTTATATTAATTAGTTTTTATCGCGATTATTCCACTTTGTTCAATTTGTCAAATAACAAAAATGTTGAAGAATAATTTTGCTGCAGTTGAGTTCTTAATGCCCGTATCGAAGTTCAGAAAGTCTTGTAGAAACGGTGAATAGCCTGTGTAGTACAGACGCCCCCTTCGCTTCCTTCGGAAAAAAACTGGGAAGAGAGTTCCTCTTCCCAATTTGTTTTTTCCCAGACGGATATATTCACAGCAAACAACAAATAAGGAACAGTATGATTTCCTTTTGTGATTCTCACTTTTTTGGCCATTTGATGGACAAGCGCAACGAATGTCAGCTTTCATTTCACGAACAAATTTTAAAATAAAGAAGCATTCTAATTTTCTTAGGGCCCACAAAAATCTAACTAACACAAAGGACGGAAAAAAGTAGATCCCCCAAAAAACCTGATTTATAAACAAACAACGACAAAAGGTAGCCTTCGTGGTATGGGAGAAAGCTGGCCGGGAGCGCAAAGGAGAGATAAGGGGGAGGGGATATTTTCTTGTGCATAGAAGTGCAGTACCTGGTTCCGCATTTGCTAGACCCGTGGCGCTAGACTGAAAAGAAAAGTTGTTCTGATCCCTGGGCCCCGCTCACACGAAAGCGCATATATTTTACTACCCGGAATGGTGAAATCGTGTGGCCGATCAGGCCCGTTGGGGGGGGTACTCCCCCATATAAGCTATATAGGCATGTGCCGCCCCAAAGGATAGGGCATTTGGTACTATTTTGTCTGAAAAGGGGAATACACTTTGCCCATTTTGGTCTGGAATCGGGTAAGGTACGGCCGGTTTTCGTTGACAAGGGGTGACAAAAGACTGAAAAGATCTGCTTAGTCGGCAAAATTTAAGATCTGGAGCACTTGAAAACGTCAATCAATCGTTCTAGAACAATAAGAGGTTACGTAGCTTTTTAGCGAGGGCCATGCGTTCTGAAAAGCTTCCTGATAAGCAAGTCAATCGGCTGTCCGTGAAACTCGGCTATCTCCGAATCAAGAAATGGCCGATAGCTTTTCTATATCTGATCTTTCTATCATTAAACAATTTGCAAAATGTCGCTGCTAACAGTGTTTCTATTCGTCCAATCAGGAATGATAGGCTCAAAGGTAAGTGTTTATATATCAACATACTCACACGGTTATCAATTGCTGAATTTCATGCAAGGAATGGGCAAACTTTTAAGTGACATCCCTTATTTGTTTCCTCAGGAGTTAAAAGCAAATTTTGAAGTCTTTTAAAATGTTAACATATTTTCAACGTCGAATCTTAATTCGTTGCTTACTCGAAAGAAAATAACTCCATGACACCTTCTCCAGGAGAGAACAGTGGTTTTCTATAATTATCTACATCGTGACATGTTCCTATAGAGTGTTAACTTAATAATCGCTGCACTTTGTGGAAGCCTGTTTTGAAAATAACTTGGCTACTCTACTTCTATCCCGGCATAGCTGTAGCACGCTATTTCCGACAAGCGGTTTTTTAAGTAAGATCAAAATACGAAGCCTCTACAGTTTTAAATATTTTAACTATAGCAAAACTTGTAACTCTCTGATTTAATATAATGGTATAATAAGGCAGAGTTAAAATAACTTGAGAGAGAGACTTGAGCTTCCTGTTGGCACGCCGCTGAGTGGTCACGCCTTGAGTGCATGAAAACATTGAAAAGCGTAAAGTTTGACATTCAGACCCTCTCTCTTTCTCAGCTGGTAGACAAAATACGGAAAATAAATATAATTATTCACAACAGAACCGCGAGAATAGATTTTCCCTGTTATCACTCAATCGCTATTTTAAGTTAATATATGCCTTTTAGGATTTTTAGTTGACTGATTTGTCCCAGCGGAAACTAATATATATTAGCCCAGTTTGAACGCCCACTTATAAACAAATATTGTTTTTTAATTTGCATGTAGCCTTTGCACCTTCATAAAAATATATATATCTTTTCATGATCAGTTTTTTGACACGTTTCTTTTCAGACGCAAAAAATGGGGTTAGTATCTTTATGATATAAAGATATCGCTACGTCATAAAACAGAATACGCTTTCCCTTCAGATATAGTCTGTCAAAACCTCTGCCGTCTCTACCCCGGGGTGGAGCCAGCTAAAATTAAAGACCATTTATTGCCCGGGATCTGTTTGTAACTTTGTGTGCTTTTTCGTCGGATATATAATACAAACAAACCGCACGTTCAAGAAACCGCTGTTCCTTTCTCTTTCAACAAATATTAAAGGAAATCATCTTGTTGTCTGACTAATTTATAGGAAATATGAAAAATATTTGGTTCATCGATATTGGTTATATGGCCTGAGGTAACCGTCTTTCTTGAGGCCGTTTTCGAGGAAGGAGCGCCGTTCCAACAAGTAAACATGTGACACCCATGCAAAAGCCAAATTATTACAGTTTTCCTAGTATTTATCGATTTGAAAAACTATCGGTATATTTGTGTTTTCCGCGAACATATAGTAACTCCGTCTGAATGATTTTATTAACAATTCAGTTTCGTTGGATGAGCACACATGTGAAGAATTTGTATGGCCTGAGGGTGTGGCTAAATGGCTCTTGGCTATATTTTATTAGTGATAGGAACTTTCGCCACAATATCATAAAGCTATTTTAGAAAAATAATGATAATGATTGTCTCGAGGTGATACTTTGCTATCTTTGAAGATAACTAAGGTCACTGGAATAAAAGAGAAAAGCGATAAACGTTTCTAGCTAATCACATGTTTGTCACTGACGATGATGAAATCGCTTTCAGCTTATTCTATCGCCACGCACGCTGCACTGGACCATCTTTAGTTCCAAATAATGATTGTGTACCGCACACAGTAACTAGAGTCGAGGCCATGATTGGAAAAGCTCAACTGCTTTAGGAGATATAGCTTTCTGAAATGTGCTTATGTTTCTAAAAATAGTAACAAAATGGCTGGAAATTCAGAAAACAAACTTAAGCTTAATAATTATTTATGGCCAATTGAGCTTTCCCCCAAAAATATTTTTCACATGTTATTTTGTCGCCTCGTGCGCATTAAAAATGATTTATTTGGTACACTAAGTTGAAAAGTAAATTTTGCTTTCAATCTTGTAGCGTCATTTTCCCGGCCACGTTAAATTCAAAAAACAAAAAAAGCGATTGTTTAGAATACAAAGTTCTACCATCCTGCAAACTTTGAGCTCAAACGGATTAAACCTGCAAGAGTAGTTCCCAGGGAGCCGTTTTAGGCGTCCTACATGCCCACCGGCGCCGTAGGCGTTTTACTGTCCCTATATATATATATTTAGGCAGAACAAGCCTGTATAGGAGACTAGGCCAACTGCTTCCTCAACGACGCGATCATTTGAAGAGACTGGAATTTATTTAACTAGGGGTCAGCACAGTAATCTTCTCAGATTTGCTAAGACCTTAGCTTGAATTGTAGTCTAAAGCTTGCCTAGTCCCTGTTCGGCGTTTTCCCAGTCCCCCTCGGCTTTTCATTTGTACCACGTGACCCGAAACCCTTTGGCCGCGCGGAATCATGATTGGGACTGTGCAAGTCTTGAGCCAATTAGTTCTGAGCCCGTAACTCCCGAATAACAATCCAAGGCCCTACATGTTTCGAAAACCAGGTTGCAGTTGACTTCCCTTATAGAAAACAGCTAACTACAATTTCAGTAAGTAAAGGTAGCTTTGGACCATATTATCGAGATTTATGACGGGCCGAGCAAAAATAATAATACAAAAAAAAAATCAGGAGAGATTGAGTTCCTTTTAAAACTTCTTCTGGCAGGTAAATTGGACTTAAGATGCTAATAAAAAAAACCTTACTGTTTTCAATTTAACACTATCTTCCAGTTGGCTGTAGCTTCAACTGGTGAATGTCCTCCCCAGCAGTTTTGGAATGGTACGTTATGTACCCCATGCTCCATGTGTGGGCCGGGGTACGGAATGAAGACTGAATGTGCGGAAAAACAAGACACGGAGTGCGAAAAATGTTGGCTAGGATACGATTATTCCAACACCACAGGCATGGAACCGTGTAAACGGTAAGTTAAGTTACTGTAACTTCACGCCCCTCTAGGCCCTTAACATGTTCGCCCTATTTGCTTCAGTTGAGTGCTTGTGCTTTTTTTAAAGAGGTTTAGTTAAGAAATAACTTACAACTGCAGTGGAAAAGTGCATTGACATTTGGTTAACTTCACTCGTCTGTTTGGAATTGAGGAATAGTAAGAACAGAAACAACGCGGCGCGCTAAGAAGATGGTTATCAGTAATATCAGTAACCTTTTAATGAAATCTCTTTTATAGTGACCACCTTATCCCCTGGCCTTAGTTTCGTGATCAGCTTAAGGTATGGAAAAACGTGCAACTTGTTTTGCAACATTGCTGCAAAACTAACGAGTTGAATAGCGATATGCTGGCGTTTTACCACAAATGTTCAAACCTGTTAACAACCTGATTTCTTGCAAGACAGGTTTGGACGAGGTGGTAAAACGTGTAACATCGCTATTCAACTCGTTTTGCAGCAACGTTTGCAAAACAAGTTGCACGTTTTCTGTGGCCCGTTTTTACGTACCTTTCATGAAACTTGATAATCTTCCTTTTTTCACAAAAGGTGTATCAACGAGGAGTCTAATTGCTTAGACGGGAACTTTAAGGTAATAACAAACTGCACCAGATTTTCTCCGACTGTGTGCAGTGGCTGTGAGGATGAAAATTACTTCGACTTGAGCGTAGGACTCCTAGGAGGATGTGTTCCCTGTTCACCGCCATGTGGTGTTTATGAAGTGGAGACAAGGCAATGCACCACTGAGCATGATCGGTTATGTCAGACTAAGCAACAGACTACAAATAAGCCGCAGGTTCCAAGTAAGTAAAACAGAAACCATTATACTATGTTTGACAACTCTTTTCTTCTGGGGGAACTCAAGTGTAGACGAAGTTCTAGATCTTTTTTTTTCCTCAGTCCTTCTTCTTTAATTAATTATGTTTTAATGTTGTCTTATAAATGTGTCCCTCTGTGATAATTTTTTCTTGATTTTTTTCTTTCATCGTTTGTTTAATTTATCTAAAAGTCATATGTCAAACATGAGGCATATGGGTTTCATCCATACACTGAAAAGTAATAAATCAAACAAGAGAAGGAGTATTTCATCTGAAATCCAAACACCGAGAAGTAATATATCAAATACGAGAAGGAGTGTTTCATCCGATATCCAAACATCAAGCATTGAACGTTTTTGATTCTTACTTTGATCTATTTTTAAATGGCGTGACACTGAAAACCAGCAATAAAGGCCACGTAACTAGGTTCACGTGACAAACCAATGTTCTTTCTTATTGTCATTAGGTACGGCTTTTCCAACAATTATCCCTCCAGTAAAAGGCACTGCTCCTTATGGGACAATGGAACCCCCGGCGGAGCCCGAGGGTAGTCAGGAAGATGCTTCTCAAGAAGTACCGATCGGGAAACAATCATGGTTTTGGGTTGTTGTGGTCGGTGTGCCAGTAGCGTTGGTAACAAGTGTCGTTGCTGTACCACGATTAGTGAAATGGAACAAAAGAAGAAAACGATTAAATAACCAGAACAACGACAGTGTCGCTCAACAGAGCACTCCATTGGTGCCGCGTAAGTGAAATTTGGTAACAGATTTAAGCATAGCTCAGAAAGTCTAGAACCTGCAGAAGTAGAAAGAGTAAATTTTTCTACTGTGTAAAATGAAAAGGACAGCAACAATCGGCTTTGTTTATAACAAATGTCTGCTTGCCCATCGTTAACTCAAAATGGTTTTGTGCATGCTCGAATCCAAATCATTCTGCAAACACCACACAAAAGAACAAACTTTTTGTGTTAACTTCCTTTTGTTTTTGTCCAGGTGGCTTAGACACCTTAATCAGAGACCTGACCGTTGAAGACAGGGAGTTTATTTCACAACGGCTCAACGTCGAAGACCCCGAAGGTAAACTAGACCAGTTGATTAATTCATCTGCATTTTTCATCCTACCTACTATACGCTTTCGTTCAAACTAGTAATAGTTGACACTACAGCTGCCCCCGCTCTGTATATTGTCGGTCAATAGCATTCTTGCAGTTGTGTAGCTCTTTGAAATATACCGATTCATAATGAAGGTTTTCACACATATTCCATACAATAGGTGAGATAAATACAGGTAACCGGCGCAAGGTTCCATGCACCGTTTCAGTTTGATTTACACAGCTTTGATCAAAACATTCTCCGTTTCGAGAATAGTTTATTCTAAACCACAAGAAAATATTAATTAGAAGCTGAATTTTTCGCTATTTCTCTTTCACTTTTTACATTCAGTTCATTTTATTTGCCGGAAAGTAAGCCTTAGAAATTAATAGGAAGTTTCACGCTCGCGCATTCTAGTCTTATTTTAAACTTTATAGTTGATGGACATCTGTGAGCAGCGAATAAGTCAGCACAGAATTTGATTGTCGGCGAATTTCTGCAATCGTCCATCGTTCTGCTAGTGATAAGCTAGCCGTTGTTCACTCGTCTTGCTTGTTTGGGGCCGAGTCTTATTCCGGTCAAAGAGAGAGAAAGAGTGTCTGGCAAGGTTTCAAATCAAAAATTTGTGAACTCGTGTCTAGCAAACTCTCCAAGTGTTTATATATACACAGTTATACGCACCTTGTAACTTCATCTGCGCTTAACGAGTGTCTTTTGGTCCATAACTTTCAAAACTTAACAACTGCTCCACAGAATGTCACTGATAACACGTAACGCAAAAGGGTATCGAAGTATGACTGCACATAATGCATGTCACAAAATCTACCTAAGCGGTCCCTTGGGGATTTTCTGTCTTTACGTCATCCTAACCATTTCGTACTAGCGGGCGCAAACAATAGAAACGTCATCATTACCTACCGATTTCTCCCCCCCCCCCCCCCCCGTACCGAACCAAACACTATTTGTAACATATTTTTGATATATTTTTAAAACTGTTTTAATTGTATTTGAGAACTTCATTTAAAACAGGTACTAAATTCTATTTTTAAGGGTGTTTTAACCTGTTTTTAAAGGTGTTTTAACCTGCTTTAAATGGTGTTTTAACCTCTTTTGAATGGTATTTTAACTTGCCTTTAAATGTTGTCTAACCCTGTTTTCAATGGTGTTTTAGTCTGTTTTTAAAGGTGTTTTAACCTGCTTTTAATGGTGTTCTAACCAGCTTTTAATGGTGTTTTAACCTGTTTTTAAAGGTGTTTTAACCTGTTTTGAAAGGTGTCTTAACCTGTTTTGAATGGTGTTTTAACCTGCCTTTAAATGTTGTCTAACCCTGTTCTCAATTATATTTTAGCCTGTTTTTAATGATGTTTTAATCTGTTTTTAAAGGTGCTTCAACCTGCTTTTAATGGTGTTTTAACCTGTTTTTAAAGGTGTTTTAACCTGTTTTTATGTTTTTGAAGGTGTTTTAACCTGTTTTGAAAGGTGTCTTAACCTGTTTTGAATGGTGTTTTAACCTGCCTTTAAATGTTGTCTAACCCTGTTTTCAATGGTGCTTTAGCCTGTTTTTAATGATGTTTTAATCTGTTTTTAAAGGTGTTTTAACCTGCCTTTAAGGGTGTTTGAACCTAGTTTTAAAGGTGTTTTAACCTGTTCTTAATGGTGTTTTAACCTGTTTTTAAAGGTGTTTTAACCTGCTTTAAATGTTTTAACCTGCCTTTAAATGTTGTCTAACCCTGTTTTCAATGGTGCTTTAGCCTGTTTTTAACGATGTTTTAATCTGTTTTTAAAGGTGTTTTAACCTGCTTTAAATGTTTTAACCTGCCTTTAAATGTTGTCTAAACCTGTTTTCAATGGTGTTTTAACCTGTTTTTGAAGGTGTTTTAACCTGCTTTTAATGGTCTTTTAACCTGTTTTTAAAGGTTTTTTGACCTGTTTTTAAAGGTGTTTTAACCTGTTTTTAAAGGTGTTTTAATCTGCTTTTCATGGTGTTTTAATCTGTTTTTAATTACAAGTAAAATAAAAATTTAAGCATTTTCTTTGTAACAAAACTTGAAAATAAAAGCATGTTTTCAAAAACACCCTTAAAAGCCAGCTGAAAAACCCTTTAAAAATGACATCACTTATATCTGGAGTTGTCTAAACCGCGTACATGTAATTGTGTTGGGAATTTTCTTTAAAACTCACCATATTCACATATGATTGTTTTTGTTAAAAATCAAAACTACTAGAAAAGTGTATTATAAAATTGTCTAATGAAATCACCAACGTATAATAAAGATTTCTGAGGGAAAAGATAGTTTATTTTGTTTCCTACTATAATACAACTATTAGCCAAATTCATTTGTACAAAACAAAGGTCACAAGTTGTTGGTACAGTGATAACTGCCTAAAACAATAAAGGATCCAGGGTGATCAAGTCAGGAAAGTCAGTTTTACAGCCTGCCATTCGAGTAAGCTGTAGTTGGCATGTACTATAACCCACAAGTCATTTCAAAAAGCCCCAAAACCCTTTAGCAGGATTAGCAGGATTGATTACAATCCTTCTGTAATTTGAATTTTCCCAAAAAACAGCACTTTTGCCTGTCAGGCAAGTTAAGAACAAAAATCACTAGCCCGATGGCAAAATCCACTAGCCCTGGCCTATCGGACACTTTACACGCTGAGGATCATTCAATGAAACAACGGCTACAGATCTGGAAACAGATGGGCCAAATTAACAAAAACTAGAATAGACTTCACTGGTATAACTGAAATAAATAAGAAGGCCGGAAAGACATAATTATATTTGTTTGTTCTTCATGAAGCTTGATTTAATATTGCTTAGAGGTAATTTCTTCTCTAAGGACAAGTTTCATAATAACAAGTACTGTACATGTAATTGGCAAAACTAAGCGAAATATAATAACATGCCTTCTACGGCTGTAGCTGCCTTATCTAACCATCATTAAGTTGCACTGTTGCTGGGACAGGCAATTTTCCTCCACCATTAATTCAGGAATGAGGGTTAGGGTACAAAATATATAATCTACACTGTATTGACAGCATCTGAGTTCTTGTACATCACAGTCTGTTTCGTTGTTAATTTCCATGACACTGTCCTACTTTCACAAGCAGTCTGCATGACTGTTTGACATATATTACTTTTAATCAAACAGTGAAACTCTGTTAATACAGACACTCAGGGGACCATAAAAAAAGTAAAAAGCTACTGCTAGAGAAATAAAACAGGACACTGGCATCATTAAATTTAACAATCTGTGAACATTGACATGCTGTTTCAATTAAGTAACAGTATTATTTTTTTCAATTTGAAAAAAGCACATGGACACTGTAGGTCTTATTACAGCATTTACAGTTGATAAGAAAGAAACTGTGTTAGTAAGATTAATCAAGATTAGTTGTGACCGAATCTGTTGACTGAAAAAAGGTTTTTGTATTCCTTAAGTTATTATTACTAGCATTGTCCGAATAACTATTAGTCAGTGGGTGTCTGCATAAAATTGTTTGAATTTAGAGAAGAAAGTGAGGTCCGATTCACTCTCATACAGATGTAGGTCCTAAGAAAACGTTTTTTTTTTTAGGACTTGATAAATTTCTGTTCTTTAGTGCATAAGGAATATGAACAAGGCAAACAAAATTGATGCTAGATACAGTGTAGCACAGGCTATACTGATACAAGAAACTGGCTGGGATATATGAGTAGCTTAAATAAACAACACTTCTTTGGGATTGTCAGAAAAGGACATTACTCAAATCTATTTTCAAAGAGTTAAGTACAAGAATGGTGCAACAAAATGCTTGGGTGGTATTGCTTTTCAATGGAAAAGTTGGAGACGTGAATATATATTCAGTGATTTTGGTTACAAATAGTTATGGTGAGTCCTGGGACTCATCTTGTGAAAAATATTGAGTCCCAGTCCAGAAACATTGAGTCCCAGATAAAAAAATATACAAGTCTGTAATTGAAAATGCTTGGGCCTTTGTGTAACCAGACAGTTAATCTGACTTATTAGCTTGACAGACTTCAAAACTCTGCATTACTGCAGTGCAAAGAGCAAATCAGAGCAAATCTATGCCTTTCTTTTCTACAATTCATTTCAACATAAGAAGCCTTTATGCTAACCATGATGGTTTGACAATGCTGCCATCAGATCTACAGCATTTATTCGATGTTATTGGCCTTTCCGAAACAAAGATAAAAAGTAACTGTGATCTAACTAGCAACATTGCTATTGAAGGATAAATGATTTTGTCTCTGGCCAAGCCAACTCTGAGTAATGTTGGTGGTGTGGGGTTCTTCATCAAAGGGGGGATTCAATTTCATATTCGAGATGATCTTTGTTCAACGACAAAAGAGTTTGTATCTCTATGGATTGAGATTAATCGGACCTAAACTTTGGAGTGAACTCGATGAAAGATTCAAGTGTCGTACTTCCAATCAATTTAAAAAAGAACTAACTTTGCATTTCATTAGTCTCTATTAATCTCAGTTTACTGATATTTTGATGGTTTATATTTATTTATTTTTTGTTTTGTTCTGTATAATTATTTACTTATTTACTTTTGTGCCGAGTTATGATATTTATGTGTACCAATGTTTTTCTGACTTTTACAGTTTTAATTATCATAATTACGGTCACCCAACTAGTTTAGCTTTTTATTAGTTATTTTGGGTGTCCCAATACTGTATCTTCTGTTTATTTATTTATTTATAATTATTTTCTTGTAAATTCCTCTAGTTGTCTACAGTAGTAGAAAATAAACTGTTGTACACTGAAATTAAAATACAGTCCTTCCAAAGGCTAAAGGAAATATGCATCCTTCAACAACAGCCATAATATTTGCCACACAATACACAAACCATATATTTCTACAAATACACATGTTCAGATTTTTTATGGATCTTTGCGTCCATTGGAATGCATGCCATGAATATTATTATTTTGCATCTTTGGGGATTTTTATGCATCAGGGATGCAGGATGCAGATGTTAACAAAGTCACCGCATATTTTTTGTATGGACAAGAGATTATTAGAAGATTTTGTTTTAAAATGTAATCAATGAAAATACTGGATGTCATGATTTATAGCTTGTGGTTGTCGCTTCTCCAGAAGCTACACTGTATATAGCTGATTAAGTTAAGGTTGGCTATTACGCATTTGGGCATACCAAACAATACAATGATTTTTCTGAGTGACCACCAAACAATAGCTTACTATTGCTCAATTCCCAAAGCCCAAAGCAACCTTTATTGAACCAGCTGTATATGTGTCAGTGTATGTATAAGGTCCTGATTGTTTACATGTAACAAACTAAATGTCAAAATATCATGTTCCTGAAACTTTTTAGGAATTCCCAAGCAGAAAAATAACCATTTTAGGCTTAACTGAGTCAATATAATAAGTTAAATGTCTATAATACATAATTTCATTAATTATTGAATTTTACTTGCCAACTATACCTGCATTCATTCTCGCAAGACCTAGCACAATAATATTTGATTCCACTAAAACCATCATGAAGCTTGCAAAGCCTGAGCCAGAGCATTCACTATTGGTTTTGTGGTTGGTATTGCTCTGTGTGAGCGAAAGAGGACCGACACCGGCAAAGCTTAATTAACGTGACACATTTGGCGTTAGAGCAAGAATGTAATCTGATCAATTAACTGTAAAGGAAAAGAGTCATTTTGATGTGAAACTGCAAAAATATTGCGATTACCTGATGTATAGTTATTGCGCGTGAACAAGAAAAACAAATGTCGCGAAATATTGGTTGTACACCTCGACTGAATTCAATTTGTATCTGAACGAGATGTATCGCCACCGGTAAGGAAACACATATAAACAAAAGCCAAAATGGCTCATGGTAATAAATTAATTGACAGCGCTCTTCGAAAGGCCATATATCCAACTGTCCTTTTCATAACGCGTATGCCTAGACGTTCCAATAACAGATTATTCTAAAATAAGGAACAATCGTACTCACATTTATTCGCATCGCGAAGACTCAAACAACGTGTGTCCACCAGTTGAACTTAGATCCGTTAAAAGTAAAAGTCAGTCGCTGACAATTCGGAGACATTTTGATTCGTGATTAAAACAAAATCTGCGCGTCTGAACAGTCCACAGAGTTGACAAATACTCTTTTTGGGCAGTAAAGAGCAACGCAAACGCAAGTTGCAAACATCAACAGCCGTCCGCCATAATTTTAAAATGTTCCTTTGCACGTGGCTTTACCACGTGACTCTATTGCGCGGGAAGTCTGCGGGCGCGTGCTAAGTCGAGCAAATTTTTTCATCCAGTAAAAGCGAAGCTCCCGTAAATAAATTCATAATTTAAATCAAACAATAAACTTGTAATCCACAGGTCAGGGCACCTTCATTTGACTTTTGAGGCAAAGGCTAAGTGATTTTAGAGAAAAATAATTTGACAGTCCAAGAGGGAAACAGCTTTTTCATCGAGTTATTAAATAGTCTTATTTGTACACCCAAAAATAGCAATCACGTTCGATCACAGTAGATTAGGCCTGGAAAACAAATAGACCTACCTATTCGTGTATTGTATTTGCATTAGCTGTTGCATCATAATGTGGCATTCACCAGTCTCTCCAACATTGCTCCGTTAGAGAGACTATGGATAATTTGACAACCCCGAAATATAATTTTAACGGAAACGCTTGCTACACGGGCTAAATCTGTTTGAAAATAAATTTGGTTGACATTTTTCCTTTGAAGTATACTTTTTACCATTGAGGACAGCCGGTTTTTTTCAAAACACCCTATAAACAGCCTGTTTAAGTTAGGTTTGGAAACAGGTTTCCATGTAAATACCTTTTAAATGCATGAGGATAATTTGTGAAAATACAGTAAAAACAGCTACAGTAGTTTTAATCCTGTTTGGAGAAATTTCAAGGTGTTAGTCATTTCAAATCACAATTTAAATTGAACTGCCTCTTAAACCTTCTTCAAACATGTTTTAACAATGCTATTTATGAGCTGTTTAAGGTCGTAGACGAGGAAGTATATTCAAAATAGTCTTTAAACATCCTAATTAAAACCTGATTTTGAACTTTACTTTTAAAAACTACTTTTTAGATCTTTGATTTTAGGTTCTTCTTTCCAAAATGCAGTTTAAATATACGGTATTTAAAAAAATTTTAGCAACTTGCCAGTACTCTCTTTCCGAAAATATAGTTTAAATACTGTATTTAAATGTAGTTTAGATAGCAAATATTTTTCAAATACAAGGAAACCTGGGAAAATGTTGTGAATATTATTCAAATAGATGTCAAATACAATTCAAACTTCTAACGCTATTTTGGTTTTAGTCGTGAAATATAATAAAAAATACCTCAAATTGTGGTAAAAATAGTTTTTAAATCGTTTAAATAGCTTTAAACTACTTCACAGACAGTTTTTAAATACAGTTGATTTGGTGCGAGCCTGTTCAAGCAAATCGAGATTTTTTCTATATTGACTGTATGACTGTATATTTCAACTGTAAGTACTTTCCTTAATATACGCGCGAGTTAATTACTAGAGAGCCTCCTCGGGATTTCGCCTTCTGGGCGAAATCCCTGCGGGGACAACCACTCACTGAATTAAAGAGACCTTTATTTCCTACCTTGCACTTAAATGGTAACATCAGTTACCGAACATTATAGGGTACGTACTTCCCTCCCTACGCAATGCGTATGTTTTTCCTCATGTAATTTGAACCTGCGCCCCTTCGAGTGCCAAGAAGTGATAGGCAAAAGAATCTGGCATATTTCATTTCGTAAGAAGCAACAGAATTTACCTGAACGATTACACCAAAATATCTCTTCCACCGATGACTTTCAACGATTGTCACACTCTAGAAGAAAATCAAACAGTTCGTTTTTGTGTAACATTAAAAAAAAATATTATTTGACTAATTTAAGATCAGATTCTTAGTCAATTTTAACATTTTTGGTTTTCGTACTTCAATTTAGGATATCCCTACTGGTTAAAGGTTGGCGAGAAACTTGGATTGAAAGACCGATGTAGACAGTGGCGGGGAAGAGGAGTCCGCAATCCAACCGACAATCTGCTTACGGCATTTGCTGAAAAGAGAGAAAGTACTATCCGGAAGTTAATCGAGGCTTCCGAGGAGGCAGGGCTGACACTCTTTGCCAGTGAATTGGAAAATAGGTTTTCCCCAAAAGATAACCAAAGTGGAAGCGAGGAAAATGTACCTGATGCACCTTCTGCAGGGTTGACGCCTGTCGTTTGTGAAATAGAGGAGAGCTTTGTAGACGATGAAACTTCAGTATAGAGCGTTTTTCAATTGAATGCCCTTATTTTTCTAGCTGGCTACTCGAAAGAAAACAACAATTAACAACAACCAATCTAATCGGGATGCAAATTAATTGCTCCTGCCAACCTTAGGAAAATATGCGTGAGCACGTCATTATTAATTGAGGTTACCTTCTGATTGGTTATGGAAGGTGGCGCGAAATTTTTCAGCCAATCACAAAGGATCATTTCCGAGTTCCGAAAACCCTCACTTTCAAAGCGAGGCCAAGTTCAAAACCTTTCTTTTGATAATTAGTTTCATTTGCCTGAGAATAAAAATCATTTTAATATCAATTCTTTTTAATATCAATAACTTCGCACTTAGCCTAGCTTTGAAAGAGAGGCTTCGGATAACTCGTGATGACCTATTCGTGGCCCTGAAAAACTGCAACAGTCACAGTTTTATTTCGACACTCAACTGAAAATCGTTCTTATCCTAAAAAATCATCGAACTGTGAGCTTATAAGTCGTATAACATTCCCTAACTAAAACCAGAAGCTGAAACTTTTGCTTTCATAGGTAGCTGCCTTACTGCCAATAGTTAGTTTTAGAGGTAAAAAGACAATGAATTCAAAGGAAGTGAAAATGTTCGTGTAGAAACAAATTACTATAATTATTGATTATTTTCCCAGACAATGAGGTCGACAAATTCTGTTAATCTTTCAGGCCAGTTGTTTAGTTCTTAGTTACTTAGTTCATTAGAAATAGAAATATAAGGCAAAGAATCTTTCTTCTTGCTTTCAGTTTTCTTTGCAATGGGTGAGCATTTACTTTCTTAACTTACTGAGAAGATAAGAAGAATGTCTTTTATTTCTTCCGTAGTTTTTAATATAATTATTTAATTCCTTAGAATTATGGGTGTTGTATTGCAGCCCACCAGAGCGCGATGACGAGGGGGGACGTTTTATAGGGGACTGATTATGAAGTGATGATGGCCAAAAGCTTTCCCCATGAGCCTAAGAAACTGGGGAAGTACGTGTCATTTAATTCTAGCTGTGTTGCATTGTCACTAAAAGGTTGGGCGGGAAGAAACTAAGGGCATGTTTCAGCAAGGGTGTGTCGCCCATCAAGTTTTCTATTGAAGGAACGTAAGACAAAGATTTTGGCTACCTATTTATGACATGGTTCTGGGATCACAATGACATCTTGAGACAAAAGCCAATTACCCTTGCCTACTGCCTGAGATTGAGACAAATTTCTGGTCTCTATTTATGACTTGTCGTGACCTGAGCTGACTTGTTCTTAGTTCTCTCTTTTGATTTGATTCAGCGGCAGATCCAGGGGAGGCCTCGCCCCCCCCTTATTTTTCGACCAAAATGACGCCCGAAGGGTCGAAAAAAATTTTTTGGAGACCGCCCCCCACCCCCACTTATCTTAGGGTCTGGATGACCGCCCCCCCCCCCTCCTTATCTGATGCTCTGGATCCGCCACTGTGATTAAAAATCGTGAGGAACTGGAACACAGTGCAACTCAACACCACGAGGATAACAGAACGGATTCTCTCGCGCTTCTCTGACTTGTAAATATTAACTCTGAAGACAAATGAGGGACAACTGAGACGAGTCAGTCAGATCCTTTTAACAACGATTTATGGTCAATTACATGGTGCTTTTTGGTTGGAAGATAATGACAAAACAAAACATATTTAATATATACTGACCCGGTGACACAGAATATCTACTTTCCATGATTTAACAGCGACTGGTCGAAATATGTCCCTTATTTACGGAATTTAGGTTGAGTAACCTAACCTTCATCTCGTCAAAAGGGCTTTTCCATTAGAAAAAGGGAGGGGCGGGAAAAACGTCAGAAAATGCAACAATTATAATTATGGTAGTGGTAGTAATAATAATAATAATAATAATAATAATAATAATAATAATAATAATAATTTATTAATAAAAATATTAAAATCGGAAATTTTAAAGTCGAGAAGCGAAATTTTCCATTAAGACTGTTGATATAAATATTTGGACACTATTAGCTTAGCATGTAGCTTGCATGTCATATATACCGCTCTAGAGAGGTTTTGCATATGTTCTTTTTCAAGAAATCTCTCCGGTCCGCTAAACAGAAGCAGAAGCTAAAAATATCACGGCATGTCTGTTACAAAAGAAACTGTTCTGTAAAACGACTCGTTACTCGACAAAGATATAAAAGGCCGCCTAACCGGCTGTCCACACTTGGTCCTCGGGAACTACTAGTGCCTGGGTTCCGACACAAAATGGTGTTGTGTTCACGCTTACCCAATTTGCAACTGTGTACATAGTTACAACCTTTCGACCATGAGCAAGTGCAAAGCAGTCCAGGAACTTACAAAAACCGTGTGCATACAGGGACCCGGTGCCGCCCACTTAAGAATTCGAATTTAGGCCTAGGTACTTGAAAAACTGGTGTGCTCACATTTGTGCGCAGCGAGTCCCGTATATAATCGGGCACCGTTCCCGGAAACCAAGTGTGAACGCGGCCTTTGATCGCGTGCTGTGAAGTTTTACACAAAATTTGAGCTTTATATGGCATTTTATGATCGTAGGTTGTATGAGAGGACACGTGACCAGCCAATGCTAGGGCCTTTTTTGCCCTCCCATTTTCTAAGGGTAAAGCCCAGGGGAAGCGAGGTTAAGGTTGACCTAACCTGGTAGGCGGCACATCCCGGCATCTGGAATATTTAATAATAATTATGTGATAATATAATATCAAGAAAGATATCAAGCAAACGACATATTGTTTGAGTTTACAAACATCAAAACACCCATGATGTTGATGACTGAAATGTTTTCCTAACTCAAACGTTTTCCTAACTCAAACGTTGTGTCGTTATTTTGACGGAATAAAGCTTAAATTTAAATGCATTACATCTGACCTAGAACCGATGCTAGAGGCACGGAATATGGACTGGTAATATTGAAAAAGATTATTTTTGCTAATACCAACATACAGGAGAAAATTAAATTTGATGACAAAATGGTTCAGAAACCTTTGTTTTATAGGTGTCTTGTATTCTTTTAAGGTTAAATCTTAATATTTGACCCTTAATAATGCATTTCACGTTTTGTGGCCGTAATGCCAAAAGCTTTTTTTTAAGGTGCCAATTCATTGAGCCCTCACGAAGCTTTATTTTCCAGGAATAAAAATATGACGCCATAAACTTTGATCAATAAGGAATCATTACATTCTTTCTTTATTTCTTTATTCATTTATTTATTTATTGAGTACTTTAATGAATTCGCCACGGTAACTCAACACGGTGACAGGGGATGAAACACGACAAAGTAAGCGTCCCTAATAGCCCACATAACTCCGAGGCTTTCTGGGGTCAATTATAAACCTTTTACAAGTGTAATTTACAAGTGAAGCCATTGTTTTTGCGGACTCTAAAACAAAACCTACACTTGTAAATTACAATTGTGAAAGTTTTATTAAATTGAGCCCTGGTCGTATTTTTTGTATTTGGTTTGGTTTTCTTGACGCTCAAGCCTCCTCTGGGAATTGTGAGACAAATGGAGTCGCGAAAAATTTGCATTTCTGACCGTAAAGCCTAGAAGCAATGTTCTGAAATAATATACAATGGAACCTCCATTTAACGAAGTGCCAAGGGACTGGGGAAATTTGTTTGTTATATCTAACACCTCCATTTAACGAATTTTTCTGGAAAACTACCAAAATGTATGTTATATCGAGGTATAGTTAATATTTAATTTACAAAACTCAGCATTTCCGGATCTGAAAAATTACTGTAATAACATTTCAGTACCGAGCTATATATAGCTACGGCACTAGAAACTCAAGAACAGGCAAACAAAACTGCTTAAAACTACTGTACACATAAATTTTATCCTTGTTGGTCTGTTTGGCATTCATCTTTTATCACATGATGACATTTATTCGTTATATCGAGGTATATTTTTACGTTTGTGTTTGTGGCTTGCCTTTGTTACTGAACGAGGATTTTAATTAATGGAGGTTCTGTTTCATACATTTTATTGTAGTTTTGGCCGGGCTGAAGAAAATCGTTCGTTATATCGAGGACTTCGTTATATAGAGGTTCGTTAAATCAAGGTGCCTGACTGTATCGAACGTGGGCTATTGAAATCAATTCCTTCATTACCCACCCAGCCTATGAAAGGTACGTTGTACCACCTGCGGCGAAACTATGGATAAGTGTCCTGTGAGATAGACGCAAGGCAGACTCGCAGTACTTTCCTTTGTTATTAGGGGCCGACCATTTAACTCTTGAGGGCGGGGGTGGGTGATTTCTGGTCATCAAGAATTTTTTTTTCTAGCAATATGGTGGGCAGGATATTTTTTTCCCTTTTTTTTCCCGTAAGCTCTTTATTACATTTGTGCTGCATGCAATTTTTTTCTTCCGACAAGCGCTTGCAGGAATTTTTTTTTCAAAATCACCCACCCCCCTCAAGAGTTAAATGGTCGGCCCCTTACAAGGTTGTTCTAACTTTTGATTCCGGTGTAAATGAAATCTTTTAAATCCTATGGTGTGACGAGTCAGACGCCCAACTAAAGCGGTTTTGAGCAGTGACTTCCAATGGCCATCAGTATATTGAAATTTGAAAACAGACTTTCGGCAGACAGCTGGAATCAAAAGAATTCATTTGCACAACTTAAATCATGTATCTCAGGTCGATTCTTTAATTACAATTGAATAGACCTATTCGGCTAACTAATTGTTGTACCCAATTCAAACCCTCTGGGAATAAAACTTTTTGTTTCAGGAATTTCCATACATTTAAATGTGAATGCCACATTATCATGCAAAGATTTGAATTGGGTACAACATTGATAGGTGGTTTTCATGCAGTCTCGGGAGACACAAATAACAATGGTGAAATGAACAAATACTGGTGGACAAACAAAACGAGCTAATGAGCAATCTTTTGTTTA